AGGAAATTTCTTTTATTTTTTATGTCCTAATTTACACATTTTCCGTCTCTTTTAAATTGCATAAATATATTTCCCTCTATAATCGTAATCTTCTAATCGTGTTCCCTATAAAATTCTCCATATTCTGTTTGGTTAACGCAAAGCTAACTGCTGATTTAATTATTAGTCCGAAAAAGGAGATAAAATGCAAAAATTGTAAGCAAACAAACAAAGAGAATCTCAAATAAGCCCCACCTTAAGTCCTTGCCTTCGCACTGAGTGCCAAACTTTCTGCGAATTAAAAGCATCAGGCCTCATAGATCAACTGCAAATGGTCGATGATTTCCAAGGCAATAACAGCATTTCTTCACATAATCATAAACAGCTACTGGAATTACACATTACTTCGGCTAATTTAATATTTCAAAAGAAATTGGAAGTTTGCACTCTTCTACATCCATCCACTTCTAATATTTTATAAATTTTTTGGAGATATCGAACAAAAATTTTACACACGTCTTTTACCACCCAAGAGGCTGCTTATTTGTTGGAAATGGCGATATCGGACCACTGCAGCATGTATCTGCCATAGAAACTGACCAATTAAAAACAAGTCCTTGTATGGAAAACTTTTTTATCGGATGAGATATCTTCACGAAATTTGGTAAGAGGTTTTTTCCAAGTTAACGGTACAATCTCCGAAGAAATTGTTAAAATCGCACCACTATAACATATAGCTGCCATATAAACTGACCGATCCAACTCAAGTCCTTGTATGAAAAATTCTTTTATTTGAGAAGATTTCTTCACGATATTCGGCGTGGATTATTTTTTGATATATATATATATAGCATATAGTTACCATATAAACTGTCTGATCCAACTCAAGTCTTTGTAAGAAAATTTCTTTTATTTGATGAGATATCTTCACGAAATTTGGTAAGCGTTTTTGTTCAAGTCAACGGTACAATCTCCGAAGAAATTGTTAAAAGCGCACCACTATAGCATATAGCTGCCATACAAACTGGCCGATAAAACTCGAGTCCTTGTATTAAAAACTCTTTTATTTGAGAAGATTTCTTCACGATATTCCGCATGGATAATTTTCTGAGGCAAAGGTGACATTTCCGTAGAAATTGTTCAAATCGCATCACTATAGCACAGAGTTGCCATATAAACTGACCGATCCAACTCCTTATATGCAAAACTCTTTTATTTGAGAAGATTTCTTCACGATATTCGGCATAAGTTATTGTCCAAGGCATGGCTACATTCTTCGTAGAAACTCTTCAGATCGAACTAATATTTAAAACTATTTGATTTGTCAAGTTATCTTCAAGAAATTTGTTAAAAATTATTAACCAAGACATCGCCATACAAGCTAATGCACACATAAATGTAACACATACATATACTTTTTTTAGCGTTCAATGTTCTAGAAAAAAGTAAAAGTTTAATTGTTTATTTTGTTTATGTTATTGTTGTTGTCGTCTAATCACACGTATCTGCGTCAGGTGAATGAGTTCAATGCATCGCACAAATATTCCAATAAATTGCTACACTGTAGCCAGCCAGCAAAATATTAGAGGCACACAGGCACACAAACATAGAAACACAGATAACTTTCGGTCATATGCGCACTCGCTTACTAATATATAAAAATGCTTAATTCTACATAGTTCACTAACATATGTATGTATGTATGCGCGTGTGTGTGTGTGTCTAATTGTGTTCCTCTTTTGATTTCCAACTTGGCTGCCTTTTATTATTATTGCAATGCCGCCTTTGCACTTGTGCACACACATACACACATCTATATGCTAGAAAAAAAAAAGCAAAGGCAGAAACCGTTGCGAGTCAGTTTGACGGCGCACCAACAGCAAAGAAATTCTATAGATGTCACACACACACATTTATAAACATTTTATATGTATGCATGTGTGTGCATATTTATATAAATATATGCACCGGCACAAATTCGAAAGATATCTACACGAGTTGTCGGCGAAAAAGGAGTTAGAGGTGTATGTGGTGTGTCTATAATGTAAAGGGAGAGTTGGTGAGGTGAGGGTGTTGGAAAAAGTAGAAGTAAATAGAAGCGCACTCACCACTCTCACTGCACACCTATAAATTGAAGGTAGCCACATATACATATATGTTTGTATATATGCACACTCCTTTATAAGCACATATACATATGTACGTGGAGCTGCCTATTGCAGTATGCGTGCAACGATGTTGAATTTTCGTGCATGTGTAGTAGTGTAGCTGACTGCATCGGCATTTTTCATTCATCGCCCGGCGGCATAAGCAAGTTGCGGTCGAGTTCAAGTTTGAGATATGTAAACCTGCGAAATGAGAAAGTATGCATGTGTATGCGTGCAAGTGTGTGTGTGATTGGGAGCGCACGATAAGCAGTAAACAAAGCAGAGAGCATTGCTGAGGTGAAAGAGAGCGCGCATTTGCTATTGCTTAGCAAGGGGTTGAGCAAGCAGTGGTGATATGTAGTTGATATACTGTCTTAAGGGCATAAAGTCATGTGATGCGTGCATGTTTATATGGATATGAAGTGATCTACGTAATTATAATGATTTTGGTAGTTTTTTGTTAGTTTTAAGAGCAAAAAGTCATATGATGTGTTCATGTTCATATATCTAAGATGTGATCTGATCAGCGTGATGATTTTGGGTATCATGTCATGTTATTTGGTTGTTGTTAATATGATGTTTAGTCATTATGAGTTGTATATGCTGTCATATCGAACATTGAGTGCTTCTGTTTTCAGAAATTTTATGAATATTTTAATATTATAAACTTATATAAAATATGTGATGTTATGTCGATATAAAACCAAAATATAATTTAAAAAAATAATTATTTTTGAGATTATTGAACATACACTTTTCCTTATTTTACTTTGGTTTGATGAACATTGACATGAAGTGATGTCATATTGATGATGTGATGTGTTCTAAAAATACAAATGCAATAAATTTTATTAATTAACTTTTTATTTTAGTTCACAATTTTTTTACTTGGTATGATGTGCTGAGATATTGATGATGTGATGCGTTCGAAAAATGATTTTATGTATTAATAAACATTTTTTATTTTAGTTTAAAATTTGTTTACTTGATATGATATGATGTGATATTATTCATGTGAAGTGACGTGACATTGATGATGTGATATGTTTTAAAAATACAACGAATTTATTTATCATTAACCTAATTTTTGTTTGTAAAATCGTTTGTTTGTTACGATGTGATGTGCGCGTGACTGTTGATTGAAATCTAGATATTTGTTGGCATATCATTTGTAGTGAGCTGAACTTCTGTGATATTTGGTGAATTTGGTTTATTATTATAGATTTATATTAGTTGATGTGATGCATTATAAAATGTAGTGATATGACTTGAAATAATTAGCTGATGCAATTAGTTTTTTTAATTTAGTGTGAGTTGATAAATTTATTTATTTATTTTAGTTTAAAAGTCTAAACAAAAAATTTTAAATTAAAAAATTATTTGCTTGCCATGTCATATGATGAAGTGAGAGATCATTTGATATGTGCCCAATTTTGTTATTTATTATAAATATACTTTCTTGTATATGATGTGACTTGAAATGTAACGAACAGTTATTTAATTTAGTAAGATGTGATATTTTTATATATTTTTGCCATGATGTGCGTGCCATATTTGATGTTTAAACTGACTTTTAGTAGTCATACAATTTGATATTGTGTCATGATGAATTTTTACAAAAAAAAAAAAATTATACTCTGTGAAGTGTTATTGAGGACGTGATGTTATCATCATACGATGTGTTACCAAAATTGCGATAAATTATAATTTTTAGTGAGTTATTATATGTCGGTTAGAGGACATGACTTTGAAAATAGTCAAAAGTGAAGTATGCAAAGTACTCTTCGGGTCGAAAAAGGAGAAGGAGTCTTTGAATTTTTAAGGGCTTTAAAAGGTTTTCTCGATTTGCAGTAAAACTGCGAGTGCTATGGCAAAATATAATATGACAAAGTTGTAGATAATGAAGGATCTAAAACTTTCACATCGACACTTTTTACACATAACCCAAAAATTTATGTAAAAACTGATAGGAACCAATTTTTCGAGGTAATTCATGCTTTGAAATTAGAATCATTTGTCTTCAAGCTGTGATGGCAATTTATTTTTTCTTATGACATTTTTTATAACAAAGTCAGCTGATCACAACAGGCGTCGATGCCACTGCAGCAGCACCCTTTGTATCGTCTATCGCAGTGATATCATCAACAACATCATATTTAGGTAACATCATATCTAGCTAACTGATGCTCTCTATCGCGCGCACTTCTTGAACACACATTAAGCATGCATTCAAAATACAATGTGGTGAAAAACCATAACACTACTTTGAGCGGCTGTCACACTTGCCAAAAGTAGCGATGTAAGTTAAAGAAAACGTGTAGAATACGAGCACAAACATATGAAATGAACGACGAAAGAGAGAGTTGGCAACACGGCGAAAAGGTGCAATCAACAATGAGCCACACACCATACACTAGCAGTACATGGCAGAGCCAGTAAGCAAAGCAAAAGCGGCTAGCAAGTGGTGAAGCGCATGCAAAATGCAATGTGTGTATATGTCAAAAAACTGCTGTTGGTAGTGGTGTGCTGTTGGTGGTGAAAAAGTCGCATTGGCGCTGCAAAGAAAATAAACAAATGGAGCTGACGGCAAGAGACGCATGAAACGACACAACTGAGCGCATAAGAAGTCAAGGGTGTGCGTTTACACATACATCCATGCATACAAATTTGTGTACATATGTGTTAGTGCGCATATTTGTGTGTACACTTGTATATGTATATTGGCGTGTTCGGCTGAGCGCCAGTTACTGTGGTGAATACTTGTACATTGGCACAGCATTTGCGCTGTTTAGCCTTTCTGTATCGTTTGTGTGCCGTCTGCTGTTGTCTGCTCGGAATCGCTTTCATTGATTTCAGTATTTGTTTGGACTTCAACGCTGGCGGTGTACAACTCGGTTGTTATACGAACATATACTACTAACGGCAGCGTGTAGAGGCAGAGGCGTGTACGCTTTTCAACGCAATAGCGCAAAAAAACCTAGAAAGAAACAATTCTTACTCGTCGCCTCAGTGCTATGACACTACAAATAAATACATACATACATGCAGGCGAACATGCATACATGTGTATATAATACAAGTTAGAAACAAGTGAAAGAAAACATCAAATAGTGGCTTGCTGTATTTTATAGTGTTTTATGAGAACGGAGAGCAAGCAAGCAAAAATTAATATATATTCATACATATATGTATATTATTGCACATGTAAACCTGAAGTAGCTGAAAAAATATTTTATTGAAATTACAAAGTACCTACAACTTAAAAAATATTATATATTTATAAAAAATATATAAATATATTCTAACTGGCAGCATAAGCGAGTGCTGAAAATACAAAAGTGCAACTAGTAATTGTGAAAACGCGTGTTCGTTAGCGGCCGGTCGTCGTGTTGATTGTAAATATTTGGCGTTTTTCGTTAGTTTCGCTGCGACGTTGACATTAGTTGCTGGCGGGACGCGTAAAATTGAACGTGATCGTGCGTGCATTGAAAGTGCATGCTGTAACAACAACAATTACAACAACAATAATAGTTACAACGACAAGAAAAAACGTGTTAACCAGTGAATGCGAAAATCGTAAGGCAAACAACAAGTGCAATTTTAGCAACAACAAGAATAGCAGCTTAGTGCTGCTCCTAGTTCTATTATTTTTTTTTTTTTAATTTTTAACACAAAAGTGCAACTTCCAGGCAAAAGAAAAAGAATTTAGTGGTTTGTGCGTATGTGTGTGTACACCTGTCTCTTATACACATCTAGATGTGTATAAGAGACAGGCTTAGTGCTGCTCCTAGTTCTATTATTTTTTTTTTTTTAATTTTTAACACAAAAGTGCAACTTCCAGGCAAAAGAAAAAGAATTTAGTGGTTTGTGCGTATGTGTGTGTACACAGCGGGAAATGTGTGTGTCTAATACGTCCAATAAGCAAATGCAAGTAGCTGATGCGCATGCAAGCGTTTAGGGCGTGGGAAAAGTGCAGTTTTGCTGATTTGAATGGTGTTTAGAAAGCTATAGAATATGTAAAAAGAGGGTTTCACAAAAAAAATGATAAAAGATAAAAATTGTGTAGCATTGAAAAAATTGAAAAAAGTTGTTGGGCGTAAATAAAGTAAGGAAATAATAATTAAAAATAATAAGAAGTAGCAAAAATAATAATAAAAAGAAGTAAAAGCAAAAGCTTTAAGGCGCAAAATTAATAATTAATTATTTTAGTGCAAGTTCCAAGATAAAAATACATATACAATATAAAAGTTTGAAAAAAAGTTTTGAATTTGTTTTTTTTTTGCAAAACTTAAAAAATATTTCGTACAAAATAAAAAAATCAAACAAAACTAAAAACAAAATTCAAAATAAAAATTTTGAAAAAAGATTCGAAATTTGTTTTTGGAAAAATTAAAAAATAAAAATTCCGTACAAATTAAAAAAAATCAAATAAAATTAAAACAAGAAATTTCGTAGTAAAGATTAAAAAACAATTTTCTACAAAATTAAAAAAGAGAATCTGAAATTTAAAAATTCCAACACTCTTCGCACAATTCAAAATTTCGCTGCCCAAAATCGCTATGTCGCTAAACATGTGTGTTCATGTGTTTAAAAATACGCCAACAACATAAATACTACGTAACTGCAAACAAAGTGCGCACGTACAACTACAACGTCGAAAAGGCGTAAAAAGTGTGAAGCGAAAAGCAGAGATTTGCCATAAAACAGCAGAAACGTTTTACTTTGAGTGAAAGGCGGCTACAAGTTTTGCTAAAAAGTGCAAATTAACAACAAATCAAAATCAACAAAATAATAATAACAAAAGCAAGCAGCCAGCTAGCTGAGAACCGAATGTGTGGAGAAAGTAGGCGCTGCAAAATAGAGAAGCAGCAGCGTTGAAGTGACCAAATGCTCAAAGAAAGGCGTAACACCTATTTGCTTCGACTTTTCGCCTTTTCGAGCTGCAAAGGAACAACGTGCTCCACGTAGGAACTGGCTTCTGCTGCGAAAAAGCTATCATTGGAGTCTAGCAAATGCCCTACCGATAAATTCTATTGCAAATGTTACACAGTGCTGAAATTCTTACTTAGTTACTTCGGTGGCTCTAACGCCAGTGGCGTCTGAAACTTATATAAAAGTTATCTGATAGCAGCAAGCACTAGATACAGCAGCTGCTAACACCTACACATGCCACACGTCGCTGTCCCGAAGGTGTGTCTGGCATTTTATCAAATTCTATTCGCTGTTTTTTGTTCTTGTTACATTCTGTACGACATAACTGCTGCGTGTAACTGTCTGCTCAAGGTCTGTACTACAACAAGAATATAAAAAAGCAGATAATAAAAACGAAACGTCAGGAGGACGCAACAAATAAAAAATCAGCAGCTGAGCGGAATTGAGCTGTGCTGCTCACTTGAAATGCGAGTTGGCGGCTGTCTGGCAAAGTAATGTGTGGCAAGTGAGTTAGGAAGAAAGTCAACAGCAACAAATAACAAAATCACACACAGTCAGTGCGCAGAAAAGCTGCGCTGGTGAAGAAAAACAGCATAAAGAAATAGTTCTTGTGCTCGATTGCGTCTGCTGATGCACGCTTAATTGCGTCTCCCCGCGGACTCATTGGTATGCGTATACGCAACTGCGGCAGACACACAACAACAATAAAATCGTAATAAAAAATCAAGTATTTCGCATGGCAAAAACAAAAAAAAAACATAGATAAAAGGTATTTGCCGCATTAAGGCGCTTAGGCGGCGCACGATTTGGTGGTAGCTTTAAAAAAATCTGCTGGAGCAGACAATATTAAAAAGCGTATACAAAAAAAGTCGCTTCAGAAGTGGAAAATTACTTTGGACTTTATTGCGAAATAAATGCTAAAGTGCAAATGCAGAAAAATTAAAGAAATTAAAAAAAAATTAAGGGAAATTAAAGAAAAATTAAAGGAAAATTAAAAGATAAATAAAAGAAAAATTGATAAAATTAAAGAATTAAAAAAATTAAAGGAAATTTAAAAAAATTAAAAGAAAATTTAAAAAATTAAAGGAAAAAATAAAATAAGGTAAAATAAAACAATTAAACGAAAATAATAACAAAAAAAAATTTTCAAAATTAAAGTAAAATTAATAAAATTAAAGAAAAATTAAAAAAATAAAGAAAAATTGAAGCAAAATTATAAAAATTAAACGATTATAAAAAAAAAAATAAAAAGCCTGCGCGCCACAAAATTTCTCCAARTAAACWACCTGCACACAACAACAACAACAACAATATAACAAAACATGGCCTTAAAATCAATTCTTGAAACGCATTTATTTTCGAAAAAAAATTAAAAATTTTAATTTATGCCGCACAAAGGCAACCAAGTAAACCAACGCGTCACCTCACCTCAGAAGAGCACTTGAAGTAGAAATAACTACAACAATAACAACCAACCAACTACCTACGCCCCATAAAGGCAAAATACACAACCTAAATGGATTTATATTGTTATCAGCCAACGCCACCTGCCTCACTCATGGATTATCCCGTTGGACCGCATCAACTGCAAAACGGCAGCAGCGGTGTTGGTGGCATCGGCGGCATCGTCAATAACACTAACGTGTACTTCAATAATATTTATACGAATGGCGTTGCCAACAACAATAATACAAGCAACAATAATAACAGTAGTAATCATTATAATCATCATAGTAATAGTGATAGCTCATCGGTGACGACGACAACAACAACAGCGACAAATTTTGGTGATTGCATCGGTTTGGAGCGCGGTTTTGATTTCTACAGTGATCGAGGTGAATATGCACACATAAATACTTATTATATTGTCTTTTTTGTGAAAGTTTTGGTTGTAGTTTTGGAAAACGATAATGTTTATTGCATTTTTAATGCAATGAAAGTAAAGTTTGTGCAAAATTAATGAAAATTCATAGACAAAAGTTGAAGAAAATGTAGAAAACACAAATGAAATGCACTTAAAATTATTTGAAAACATTAATTGGATGCTTGTAATTAATGGCATTGTGTTGAGTTGTTGTTAATTGAGTTTTTGCTTGGCAGCCGAGCAAGATTTGGCATTTTTAGCAACAAAAATTTATTGCAAATTAATACGCAAGCAGAGCGTTGGCATTGCTGTTGTGTTATTATAGTGTTTTAATTTGTTTTGGAAAAATATTCGAGTAAACCAGCAGATGTTTGTCAGTCCGGCTCAAATTTGATCAGCTGTTATTTCCAGCATTTGAGACAAGCGTAAGATTATTAATTAGTAAAATATTAGTTTTGCTAAAATATTCGGCTATACAAGCGGATTTTTGTCAGTCCGGTTCAAATTTGACCATATGATTTTTTCAATGATTGCGATTGCTTATTATTATTTTTGGTTAAATATTCGGATATTTCATATGATTTTCGTCAGTACGGGCCAAATTTAATTAGATGTTATTTAATTACGATTTTCTAAATATTGTCTTCGAAAAATAGTCGGCTATACCAGCTAATTTTCAGATTTCAGTTCAGATTTGACCGACTCGTATTTCGGGTATTACGATTGCCTAATAGTACTTTACTTGAAAAATTTAATGAAAAAGTTTTTTTTTAGTCCGGTTCAAATTGGATCGTATGTAATTTCATTGATTGCGATATGATGTGATCTAGATATTAGTTTTCGTGTGTTTTGAGTTTTAACTGATCTTAATGGTAAACGCTGTATCGATAAAATTTCAAATTATGCCTAAATCTTGAATTTCAAAACTTTTCGAAAAATCATAAATTTACAATTTTAAGCTATCATGTGCATTTCGTTTGTTTTTCTAAAAATATTTGGTCTTAAGTTGAAATATATGTATATATATATTTTAATCTATATTGTTTTATTATAATTTTCTGCCTTAATTTGTATCATTTTGTCATACGATTTCTTTGTTTTTTATTAGCACTTTAATTGGTTGACATTTCTAAATATTTTTTTCGTATTAGTTTGAAATATTTTTATACGGTACTGAGCGCATTATTAAATGTTACTTCAAATTTTATATCTTCTCTTTATATTTTCGTAATATGTGTTATTGGTTACTTACTCACTTAGAAAAATTGTTTATTACTTCAGAATACTTAATTTGAAATCGTTTTTCAGCAGTTTTCTCAAATATGCAAATAAATCATCGATTGTTTTGAAGATGTAATTCGTCTTTTTGATGAAATGAAGTTATTGCAAAACCTATTAATCTTTTAGACTAAAAATACGAAATATTTATAAAATCTTTCCAATAGCTGACTTCTTCTTTCTTTTCGGTGAAAAACATGAAAAACATCGAAAATATATTAATTCGAAAAAACATCGAAATTTTACATCGCACTAGAAAATTGTAAAAACTGGAAAATTTTTCCTTTGACAAAAATTTCGAAATAGCTACAAAAAGCTTTTCATTTTCAGAATTCGACTTTTCAATGAAAACCATCGAAATTGTTGAAAACATTTTTTTTTATTAGGAAATTCGAAAAACATCGAAATTGTTGAAAACAATCTATTTTTAGAAAAAATAAAGAAACATCGAAACTTTTGCATTCCAGTTTTTATAAATTTTATTAGCAGAATTCGTCTGTTCAATGCAATTATTGAAAACACTCTTTCAAAAACACGAAACTGTTAACCTAGGTAGAATTTGTCTTTTTGAAAAAAAAAAAACATTGAAATAGTTACAAAAAGTTTTTCGTTTTAGGAATTCCGTCTTTTCGACGAAAAACATCAACACTTCTGATTCAGCAATCATTCACTCGAAAAATTCGTCTATTCGACGAAGGATATTGTCAGAAAAAGTGTTCAGAATTCACAATTAAATTTATATACATAAAGAAAGTTCTAAGAAAGGCTATGCCGTTATTATGTTTGATTTTGTTTCTTTGTAGACTAAAAAATATTTCTCAAAAACGAAAATCAACAAAAGCATATTTGTATACTTGTTCCTCCGAATTTAGTATTTGCTTTCGTATTAGTGCACACTCCTTACTTGCAAAATTGTTGACCAACTAACGGATTTTCCTTCAAGTAAACTACCCACACGGTCATTTACTGCCTTGGTTGGAGCAAACAAAATACAAAACTCCAACTCTCCTTTCTTGCATTTAATTCAAATGTTACTTCGTCTCGGTTTATTTATTGTTTTTGTTGCATATATTTCAATCGAGTAAATTTTTTTCTCACCACATATAGCTACATTTTCCACTGCATATACGCCCAGCACAATTTTTTCCTCGTGCCTTTTCTTGTATTTCTTCGTGCTTGCCATTGATTCATACTCCTTTTACCCAAATAATTCCACGAAGTATTTGTTTGTGCCTATTCGTTGAAGCATTTAATATATTTTTGTTGTTTGCATTCACCGTTGGTTGCTTTTATGTCACTAAACTGTAAGGTTTTTCGTTTCTATTTCGTATATTTGCTGGTCGGTTTTCGGCCTCTGAAATACGAGCAGCAGTAATAAGTGGTCATTACGCTGCTTTTAGGCAACGCAAAAAAAATTCAATATCGTAGAAGAGTGCTTCCAAGCGTTATTAGATGGCAGAGAGAGAGAGAGAGAGATACGCAGTATATTGTTTATATGTATTTATTTTTGATATGTTTATATGTATTTATATTTTTATTTTTGCGGCTCTTCTTTTAACTTTCATTAATTTTTGCATTACGTTACTTTATCCTGCTGCTTCTCTGGTGCGAACTCCTCCTTACTGCTGTGGCTTTTTTACTTATTAGAAAATGCCGACATCAATTATCGCCGCAACGCAGACACATTTTAATTACTTGTAATATTTCAGCAACTCCTCATCCTTTCGACAATTTCATGTATTTTAAGTGTGCGATCTGCCTTTTCCTCCTTTAATTTGCTTTTACACAGCATTCTTTACTTATGTCGTATACAGGGAGCTTTTGAACACAAGAATTTTGCTTTCCTACGGATATTGCCTTGGTAGCTCTTTCAAGTGTTGCTCATACGCCGTGTTTGCCATTTTTACCTTCAAAACTGCTTGAATTCGGCGCTTTAAGAAAATTTTCCTTTATTTCTCTACTTAAGCCCAACTAATGATTTTGGGAATAAGTCATGAGACACACGGGAATTCCTACCCTCAACGTTGGCATCGCAGTCGACGCTGCGGCAGGACAAGCGAAATGCTTAAATGTCGCCGATCTTCATTGCGTCTAATTTATTTATTTTTATACCCTTAATAGGCTATATTAAGTTTAACACGAAGTTTGTAACACTAGCAAAAAGTTTCGGATACCATAAAAAAGATATATATAGTATAAGTGATTAGCATAAGCAGCTGAGCCGATTTAGTTCTGTAAATACGCAAACCAGTGCCTCAAATTTTGAGATATCGCTCTGAAATTTTCAACATATACGTTTCACCTTAAAAATTTGTTTATTTGTTGTTAACGCCGATATCGCTCCATTATATCATATAGTTGCCATACAAACTGTGTGATCAGAATCAAGTTCTGGTAAGGAATACTTTTTTATTTGACAAGATATCTTCACGTAAGTTGGTATGGATTATTTTCCAAGGCACTGCTGCAATATCTGCATAAATTGTTCAGATCGGGATACTATAGCATATAGCTCTCATACAAACTATACTTTCAAAATCAAGTTCTTGTAAGGGAAACTTTTTTATTTGACAAGATATCTTCATTAAACCCGTCACAGAATATTATTTAAAGCAACACTATAATTTCCATATAATTTTGTTTGGATCGGACCACTATAGCATATAGCTGTCATACAAACTGAATGATCAAAGTCAAGTTCTTCTAAGGAAAACTTGTCTATTCATGAAGGGTATTAACGTTTTTTGTTGTTATTACTTTTATTTACATTAATTATTATTTTTATTGTTCGTACGCAGTAAGCTATGCTTCACTTGCTTGACTTTCGTTCTTTGCTTCGGCTTTGTCGTCGCTACATTTTAATTATAATTAATGAATTTGTTGCGTCGCCAAAGCGGTTGGGTGAGTGATTGTTGGTGTCGGTGCTGTCTTTCGGGTGCGACAAATTTAACATTACTAGGTTCGTTGTTGTTTTTTTGTGTTTTTGTTATTGTCCTTCTAATCGCCTAACCACTAACGACCGTTTGGCGTTTGCTCTTCGTGTTTCGGCTTTTGTGGCACATAATACGCCTTGATTTACAAGCGAACAACTTGCGGCGCGGTATCGTGTAAACTTTTCATGTAAAAGTCAAGTATTTGTTTATACATATGTATGTGTGTCTGTGTATGTGCATAAAAAATGGTTGCTTATACGCCGTGTGGCGGCAACGGCGTCTAGCAAGTCGCTGCTCCTTGCTCACTCTCACAGCTACGCTTCCTTGCTGCTTGGTTTGCGTGTTGTTTACTTGTTGTTGTACTCTCTAGTGGCTGCTCATTTGCTTGCCGCTGCTAATAGCGCCACCGCGCCCCTACTTTTGCGCCGTTTAACACTTCATCCCAACCTCCGCTGACTGGCGCTGTTAATGACACTCTTTTTTCTGCATTCAAACAATCATTTTTATTGCTTCTTTTACTTGAAAGTTTTATTGCGTTTCGACTTTCTTTCTTTCCGTTTTTTACTAGCCTTCGCTCTTTATGCCATCGTCAATAGCGTTGTAATATGATTAAATTACTTTTTAACTAAAAAAACAACGACAACATTTAATCGCTGTAAAATTAATGAACTGCTGCCGTTGATATGTCTCAAAAGTTTTTGTCATACTTTTTTATGAGCGCGAAAGTTTGCACCAACAACTCTACTGTTAATTGTGGCAT